CACTGAGAGGCCTTGCATGAAGGCAACATGTCTTTGTGAGTGGAGCACTCCAAGAGGTCTCCATTTCTTTGATGACCTTCATTTATTTAATTACATCAGTCCCCACAATTCTGTCCAAAGAGCAAAGTCAATATATCTACTTTTCTCCTTCCTCATTTTTATCCTTACGACAAAACCTGATCTATGTAATAGATCAGGTTTACCTCTCTGTACGTTACATTAATGGTTACTTTACAACTCTAAAGAGCAAGACAGCACCTGAACTAGATAACTGAATTCATGTATGCATTCCCATAACATATAGGTCAGTGACGGTGAACCTTTTAGAGACTGAGTGCCCAAAAATTGCCCCTCCGCCCACCTGCGGGGCCACCCACTGCCTCCACAGCCCGCCGCAGATCACCCAGGCGTCCCAGCAGTGCCATGGCAGCCATGCCCTCCGCCCGCGCCCCACAGCATCAACTGCGCACAACGGGTGCGAGGGTGAAGCCTTGTCCCCGCTGCTCGGCTGCCATGTCCTTGGCTGCGCTGCTCCACGCGGGCTGTGCTCGGGGGCGACTCTCCGGGTGGGCTGCTGCTGGTGAGGGGGCTGCGGGGGAGGCGGGTCTGGGGCGATGGCACGCGTGCCCACAGAGAGGGCTCTGAGTGCCGCCTCTGGCACCCGTGCCATAGGTTCGCCACCACTGATATAGGTACTTTCACATTTTCTAAGCCCATGTTTATTATCTCTAACATGGTTTATTTTATGGATTCAAAATGTTATGCATTCAGCTACATTAGAATTGAACACAGACTGCCTAGATCAGAGGTGTCAAACTGGCGGCCGCGAGTCGGATGCGTCACATGCAGGCCACGCTCACCCCGGCTCCACAAAGGCAAAAAAGTCACGATATGTCACGGGATGCGATTGAGTTTGACACCCATGGCCTAGATTATCGGGAAACTTTTAAAAATGCATCGCTAACAGAGTTTAATTGGTAGAATCTGCAAGTGATTAGGTTATGTCCTAAATTCACTTGCTAAGGATGCATTTGTGCTTCTACAGATGCCTTTCTTAAAGAGAAGATGGGCTCCTCCAAACAGCCATCAGCAAAGACTGAAGAGCTGAACTTTAGAAAGCCTCTTCTAAAACACAGACCGTGCACTAACAGAGATGACAATATTTTAGCAAGCCACCTAACAGTGTTATATGATATTGAATATTACAGAATCCAAATTTCCTAAAGCAGTGTGGGCCATTTGTTGCACTAAAACAGCAGTACACAATGTTCGTCAGCTGAAGGACCATCCCAGGTTTTATGTGGTATGTTCAGTAGGTCCGTACCGAGAGAGATTTTTCTGGAATTCCGATGAGTGAAACAGATGCTGGAAGCATCTGGAAGGCTTTTAAGACCCTCGTAAAGCTCCTTAAGCCTTTTCAAGTGCATGGAAATATTCCAATGTAGAACTGAAGGTTTTTTTATTGCCCCCTTAACATCGCATGGTTATTGTTTGAAGGAGCAAGGCAAAAAATATTCTTCTCTAATTTTTTTATCGTTAGGAATATGCCAAGCTACAAGTGAGTGATCCCAAAGTTAGGGATGGCATGGAGGCAGTGGGACAGCCTGAGGAAGACCTTTTCCCCTGTAATTGCCACCGAACAAAGGTACAGCATGTACAAGTTAGTATTTTAGGAGTTGGTTTTTTGAGCATCCTGACCTGATGTTAATGAGAACACTGTTATGCCACTCAGGCTCTTAGCTTCGCAACACAAATATTACAGTGCCAGAATGGAACTTTTCATTGCTTTTCATGTACAAGGAGGGAAGGAAAGAAAGGTTCCAATACATGTAAACTAAATCTTAAGATACAAGCTAAAACCTGCCAGGTCAATGAGAGGAATGCTTTGTATATTCAGAATTAAAGGTATTCTACATGAAGAAACTATATTGTCTCATTCTTTACTTATTCAAAACTTGTTTTCCAAGTGCAAGGCTGCAACTAGAGTCAAAATGCATCCCTTTAAATATCTATTATTCCCCTAGTTAAATAGTATTTCCAAGATGATGTGGAAGGCATTGCAAATTAAGAAAGAGAGACAAAAGCAATTTAAATCAGGAACTGCAGTATTTTTCTCAATCATTTGCAGAAGGGAGATTTATGAGACCTATGTGGCTTTTTAAAAAAAATATTTTCCTAATGTTCTAAGGTAGTGATGGCGAACCTTTTAGAGACCGAGTGCCCAAACTGCAACCCAAAACCCACTTATGTATTGTCGGGTGCCAGGTGGGCTTGGCCCATTGGGTGGGCGTGGCCCATTGGGTGGGCGTGGCCCTTTGGGTGGGTGTGGCTGTGGTGGTAATGGCAGACCGGGTGGGACTAAAAAGTTCAATCAATTCCAATTTTGCGAGATCTTTTTTTTCCTGCGAAAAGTTGAAATTGATTGAACCTTTTTTTTTTTTGCACCCGGCAGCGGAGGTCTAAAGCAAAAAGGTTTTATAAAACCCAGCTGAAGGCCTAGGACTGGGGCGATGGCGCGCATGCCCACAGAGAGGGCTCTGTGTGCCACTTGTGGCACGCGTGCCATAGGTTCGCCACCACGGTTCTAAGGATTGTTTTTACATACCACAGCACAAGACCTATACTATCTGTAGATATAGCACTTGGGGACCCATAAAGCTACTCTAATTGATATGATCAAGCGTTGCATTTTAAGTTCTTTCCTCATCTTGATATCTACATGTCCCAGACACTACAAGGAAGCCATGTCCTTCCTTTGAAGACAATTTCAGATTGAGTAAGAAGCAAATATTTCTCAATACCTCCTTGTTAGATTTAAGGGGAAGGTGAACGTGAAAGAAAGCGTATCAAAAATAAAAAAGCAGAACTGTTTTCATATAGATTCTTACCACGAAGGTGACCTGAGAGGGAGGAGAAATTGGCATCAGGAAGACTGAAGCTCAGGGCGATTCGCAAATTGTTGTTGCTACCTGTTCATATGTTCACAGCTGAATAGACAGCAGGGAAGGCCACAGAATCACAGAATGTAAGGGAGCCTAGAGATCATCCAACCTAATTCAAATATCTGCAGAAATCCCCAAAGATGTCCAACCAGACCCTCCTTAAAGACCTTCAAAGAAAGAGGGTCCACTCCTCCCCAAGAGACTGTGCCATTGATGAACAGCTCGGCTCTCACAGTCCACACACACTTTTTAGATACATTAAAATGCAATAGTGAGGATGATATATTCCAGATGCTTGGAATAACCATAGGCCATCAAAACCCATTATTGAAAAATATGCGTTAACTACAAAGGGAACCGGCATAACAGAATAAGGGATTTAGAACATATACAAAGTTAAATAATTCAATGTTATAAGGTTTGATACCCAAGTTTTTCATCTTACTTGCAGGTCAAAGAAGAACTCTGATGAGACAGAGGAAACCCCGTGGCTGGAAATATTTACCTAATCACCTTCTGAGGGTAATAAATTACTAAGAGTGAAATCATCCGGATGACCTCTTTTGTGCAGTATTAATGCAACACTGCTTTTATAAGCTCTTTTTTAAAAAAATAAATAAATAAATATTCTTTCCATAAATGGATAGTCGCTTTTATTTGAAGACAAAGTTTGAACATCCTTTCTATTAATTATAAATTTATTACAAAACCAATAGCATATAATAACTCACCTTTTATATCTGTATTGGTAAAATATTTCTAAGCATAGTAAAACTATGGATCTTATTTAGAGCAGAGTCCCCAACCCCTGGTCCGTGGACCGCTACCGGTCCGTAGCCCATTGGAAACCGGGCCATGCAAGCGGCAGGCAAGTGCACAAAGCTCCATATGCACATTTGTGGGGTTAAATTGCACGCACGAAACCATCCCCTCCCTCCCACTTCCGGACCCCAGAGCCGGAAAGGTTGGGGACTGCTGACTTAGAGCTCAATTTGGATACAACAAATTTCATTTTAAAGCATCAGTATATCTGGCTCAAATAACAAACTGTGGAGGGCCTTTATACCATCGTGTCTAATATCTTGAACCACTGGTGTTGGAGAGTGTGTGTAAGTGTTCCTTCAAAATCTGTTTTGACTCCTGGAGACTGTGGACAAGTACCTATAATTTTGCTTCATACAGCATGCATTTGTTGTAACCATACAAAGTCACTAGCTCTTAGATGATTTGTGACTGCCAAAAGTTCAAGTTTGGATAACTGAGAAAAAGGAAAAAAAATTGCTGCAAAGTTTAGTTTTAAAACTTCAAGAACATATTGGCAAAAGTTTTAACATTGTACCCCAATTAATACGATTTTTGATCAGTGTGATTAGAGAGCATCATTTTGCTATTTTAGGCTCAGGAGAAGTGTTACAAGAACTGCAACAAACTAAAATTATGATACTTTCTTTTCTTTGAAGTTTTTTTCCAGAGTGAGGCAACGGTGTATAAATGATACAGCGTACATTAGAAAACTTAATAAACATAGAAAAGTTTACTTCAGAAATTGCTATCCAATATATATTACATCGATTTTAGGCTTTTGTCAAAATATCAGTATTGAGTGACAAATACTAAAAATGGATTCCTGGTCTGCAAATCCTATTCAGCAGTTAACTGGCTATAATACTGTGCAGCATCCCCATGGTCACATGGATCAAAATTCAGATGTTTAGCAACTGGTTCATATTTTATGACGGTCACAGTGTCCCGGGGTCATGTGATCAGCTTTTACGACCTTCTGACAAGCAAAATCAATGGTATATCCAGATTCACTTAACAACCATGTTACTAACTTAACTGCAATTAACAAATGTGGCAAGAAAAGTTGTAAAATAGGGCAAACTCATTTGACAAATGTTTCACTTAGCAGCATAACATTTGGGCTCAGTTGTGTCAATCAAGGACTACCTGTAGAATATATATATAAAAAAAATTGCTTGAAGTTAATTTCCCACTTCTCTAACAATTGTACAAGCAGGTGAAATCAGGTTTTGTGTCCTTTATACATCTGATAACTTACTCTATCACATCCGTAGTCCCAGACACAAATTAGATGGGGGAATTAATGACCAATAAATCTTCAGAGTTTAATTTGAAGCTTTGGATGATGCAGTAGATAAGATATCAGGCTTAGAATGAAGCTATCGTTATTTTGGTTAGCCTGCTGTGTCACACTAGCAGCAGCACGAGGACCCATTGAACAATCTGCATTCATTAGAAAATAAGGATGAAATGATCTCTCAATATATTCACATGTAAACTTTAATTTGCCAACACAATAATTCGTTGCACTGCTTATAACAATAAAGTTTATTGCTATTTATTTATTCCAAATAGTCTCTAGAATACTTTATTTCATACAACCATCTGGAAACTTATGAAATTAAGCTTAACTGATTATAGTATAATTATTCACGATGTTCTCGCAGCTAAATAAGTGAATAAACTAAGTTTTTTCTTCTGTTCCAAAACAGAATCATACTCATTCTCTGATCATTAGGAGTGTGTACTGCAATTATTCAATAATTCTTTATTCATAAGACATCAATTTTTTTACCTCCCCAAAAAATTCCAGAAAGTTTGTAGTCATCTGACAATCTTAAACATTCCGTTTAAAAAAAAGTTTCAGTTAGTTTAACAATGGGAGTAAAAGGTAAAGATTAAAATAATATTTTGTGATACACTACCAACTAACCAATATCTACCATAAATAATAAAAAATAGACTTTTAGATCAAAATATAATGCTGTTGGATAGGTATTTAACATTATGGACAAGTAAGGGTAAATGCATAATTATACAGAGTAACAAATGCTTCTTGTACAAGAATATTATGATCTCTTAAATTTGGGAGAGATGTAACTATATATCTAACCAATACAAATGCAGTAGTATTTGTATATGAATTACTAAAGCTCTATAAGAGCTGCACAAAAATATTAGCTACCTTAGGATCCTTTAAAGCAGGGGTGTCAAACTGCCGGCCCGCAAGCCGGACGCATCATAAAGAAACCGCGCCCACCCCATTGCCGGCAATGGGGGAAAAGCTCCAATACGTTGCGTGACGTCATGTGATGTCGCGAGTTTGACATGTCTGCTTTAAAGCATCCAATTTTTTTGTTCTCTAGAAAGCAAACTTAGTTTTCATACCTCAACTGCTTTATATGCTTTAAGCCCGACGAATGATGTTAAGGCTTTTGCAGGTGAATCACAGACACAGAAATCCATTAGATGCAAGGTAGTTTGCCAAAGAAACAAGGTGGGAGAAATTCATATCACCTGATGCTCCATGAGTAATAATCACACCATAAAGTAGCATCTTGCTAGGAATGCAAAAAAAAAAAAAAGCATCTAGGCTTTTGGTTCCAAGAGGTACTTTCACATTAGTCTAGAAATAGAAGCACTGAAATCAATAAGCTACAAACAAAAAATATAGTGTGGAACTATATTGTGTCCCAAATGCAAAAGAAAAAAAGATCCATTTTGAAAAGCAACAAAAGTATGTTTTTTTGTAATGATGAGACATCTCTCTTGAGAAACTTCTGTTCCTTTCAATCACAATTCAGAAACTCCAAGAATAGACCACATTAATGGTCTATGCAGATAGAAAAAATAAAACACAAATTTAAAGAAAGCCACCAGCTTGACATCTATCCTTATCCTTAGTAACAGGCTAATGAGATTTACAAAGTTTCCAGCTATTTTTGTTCAGTATAGATAAGCACGGCAGCAGACATTCTTTCTGAGTACTCAGAATTTTTGTGAATTATTACATTTCATAATTTTAACAATCAGCTTTACAGTTCTATATACAACTGCTGGAAGATTTAAAAAAAAAAAAGAATCTGGCCATTTAGAAAACACATACGTATTAGGGCATAGGACATATTTAGAATCCATTTCATCAAAGTTACCTCAGTGGAAAACATTCACAGCTAAATCCTACAGTGTTTGATAAGACTTATTGTCAGATAAAAAGAATATAGGGTTGCCACTTTGCATAGTATACATGGCAATAAATTCCTACTACTCTAACATACCTCTGGGTACTCACTCATTTTCTTTTTATAATCTTGCAAACTAGTGATCCAGAAAGTCTGATCGTAAATCACTGCAATAAAAAAAATCAAATGTTAACAATGCAAGAATGGACTGTTCCTTGCATGAACAAATGTGGCCCTCTGTTGCTTAATACCAAATGACTGAATGCTAAACTTATTTTGTATTCATTGATCATAATGACAAATGCCATCCCACTTCATTTTCTCTTTGTGCAGTACTTTTTCTACTGGGCGCTTATTAGACATATTAGAGTACTAAATGTATGCAAACATCTAACCACACCTATATATCCTTTTAGCAGACCATTTCTCAATTTAGATAAACTTGGCAGGCCCTGCATTTCTGTACAGAAACCACATACGTATTTGAGGTTGCAGATTTTGAGAGGAAGCAGTAAAGAACAGCAAATCAGCAGCTACTGGAAGTCATCTGGGTGGACCAATCACACCTTCTCAACCCTGGGAAGAAGGCAATGTCAAACCGCTTCCAAAAATCCTGCATGGATTTGTCCACATAGTTGCCAGGAGTTAAGATTGACTCTAAGGTGAAAAACAATGGACATGTAGGGTTACAGTGATCTGACACTAGTGTTTTTCTTAATTACCTGAGCTTTGCAAGTTGTCCAGAAGTCCCACATTCCCACATCTAACACTAGTGCTTTCTTAATTGTCTCAGCTTCCCAAGTTGTCCAGAAGTCCCACTGGACTTCTTGACAACTTGGAAAGGTGAGACAATTAATCTACAGGTTGACAGGCTCATGTTCCAGAATTTTTTTTATTGTGATGAACTTGTCCTCCTGCTGAGCTGAAGGCTTTTTGCCCTTTTTTTACATTGACAGAAAATAAATAGGCATAAATCTGGATCTCCATCCTGCATTTACTGCCCCTGTCCCCCATTAGGGCATTTATCTGCCTTCTTTCTAAGGTGATGTATGACAAAGCCTAACACATTTTATACACCTTTATGAAACTTTTGGAGTAAGGAAGAAAATATTCCTCCTTAATTGTAAATTGTCTCACTTGTTTGCTGGGGCCAAAAAGAAGCTGCCATTTAAAAAGGACACCATTTGAATGATTTGAAAAGAGAATGATTTAGCTCTTGTTCCTTTTTTGCCCAGCAAAAGGTTTTTCCTCATCTGTGAGTTTTGCAGCCCAATTGATTGTTTCCATTTATTTCTGCTGTTTCACACTTTTTTCCTGACAAATGAGTTACAGTTGGGGTTTTTGATCAATTGCTGGCATTTACTTCTGAATGTATATGTATCTGTGCCATAATCTAAACAAAGATATC